AGACCTTAGGAAGAACTCAAGTATTTGCGCATGAAGTGCAGCCAAGATCACTCCCGGGCCGCACCTCCTCACGCTCTAGTACTAGGTCTCCATAATAACAAAGCTTAAATCTTGCTTATATGAAAAATGGGACTTCAGGGGTAATGAATCTTCTTTTGTAGTCAAGTGGCATGTAGGCAAACGTCCCTGAGGGTTAAGTATCATGTTGGTTTAGACTTTGAGGTTCTCCCCTGCCTGAAATGACATTGTTTGCTTTCCACGGACATTCAGACATTTACGTCAAAAGCATGATGAACAGACGGATGACTGGATTTGTTTAAGGAGTCGTTCGATAGTAACCAGGGAACATAATGTTCCGAAGTAACCCATAGTGAATTTGGGTGTGGAGCTAGGTGGGAGCGGCTGACGCTCATAAAGTTTATGGTACTCTGGAATCCGCTGACGCACCTGACCTTACTGTTTGCCACGACCCTAAACCTCGGAAGGAAAAGCACCTTGGGAAAAGATAGAATATAGTGCCTGTTATCTGATATGTATCCATATATATATATATATATATGTGTGTGTATGGTGGTCTCTCTTTCTGTTGCTCTCTTAGTCTGTGACCATTTCACTTTGATGAACCTGTCTCCTTTAACAATGTATATTCCCTTATATTATATATAGTATGTGTATTTGTCGACAGTCTGTTATATTTCGCACTCACAATCTTGTGTGACACTTTGGTGTGATACCACTTATCGCTTCTCCTGGTGTTTGGAAAATAGAAGTATCATCGCAAACCTAGTGGTCTTCTGATTTCCGTCTTTCTTGCGTCAGGACTATTAAATTCTCGACCAGTACATAACAATAATTTCGCGACGAGTACATAACAATTTGGCGACGGGGAAAACTATGGATCTTCTAAATTGGAATTACTATTGAACGACAAATGAAATTAATGGAAATGTTCGTCAACCAACAGACTGGTCCAGCTTCACCTTCAAGCAATCCCAATCATACCATGCTACCATCTGTCGACGGAATTGTGAACAGTATTTCACAGTTCAATTATGACCCAGAGGCTAATGTCACTTTTGACACATGGTATCAACGTTATGAGGATTTATTCACTGTTGATCTCGCCTCACAAGACGATGCCTGGAAGGTGCGAGTGTTGTTACGTAAATTGGGTCCCGCAGAATATGAACGGTACTGCAACCTAATTTTACCCCAGAAACCACGTGACAAGTGTTTCGATGATACAATAAAGCTGCTGCGTGAACATTTTGGAGACCACTCCTCATTATTCAGCATACGTTATCGTTGCCTCAAGCTGACAATGAATGAAAATGATGATTTTCTTACTCACGTTGGCACAGTCAACCGAGAATGTGAGAGATTTCGACTCAGGTCCTTAACAGATGATCAATTCAAAGCCTTGATTCTCATATGCAGTCTCCAATCTCCTCGTTTCACAGATATCCGAACTCGACTGCTCAATCAGCTAGAACAAAATCCTAAGTTAACATTACATGACATAGCTGATGAATATCAACGGCTGATTAATTTGCAGAAAGACACACACCTGGTCGAATCAACACCTTCGAGAAGCTCTGATATTCATGCATTACGAAAGAGCAAAAATCTCTCATCATCCACTCCTGACCCACCTACTTCTTCTAATGTTCCGCGGAAATCTACACATACTCGTCCAACTTCACAAAATACTGCAAAGAAGACCCCACCATCACCATGCTGGCATTGTGGCGCGTGGCACTTTGTAAAGTCTTGTCCATACAAAAATCATCGTTGCAGCAAGTGCAAAATCATCGGTCATAAAAATGGTTTTTGTCAGCCACGCAAACCCAGATATCATAATCCAGCAAAAGCTCGACAAACTGTTGGTCCTAAATCCCCAAAAAAGTCAATGAGTCTAGCCGCAACCTGTCAAGTCACAACACCAGGTATGCGGAAATATATTGACCTTCAGATGAATGGTCATGATGCACGTCTGCAGCTAGATACCGCCTCTGATATTACTGTTATATCAGAGAAACTTTGGAATAATATTGGCAGACCACCAATCAAATACTTCCCAGACTCTTGTCAGCGCCTGTGGTGGGCGGCTCAAACTAATTGGTGAACTCAAATGTTCTGTTTCCTTCCGCAATACCAAATTCACAGGAATTTGCTACGTCACCAAGAGTGATTTAAATCTTTTGGGACTTGATTGGTTCGATCGTTTGCATCTGGCTGATGTCCCACTAAATTCTCTACGCAATGCAGTCAAGAAGCATAAAATGCTAGACAATTCCGGACGGAGCCGAAGCCGCAAACCCAACAGTCAGACGAAACGACAGGCGTCAACAACAAGCCCAAAGGTCCCAGATAAACCCCCAGGTAAACATCCTACTAATCATCCATCTTCTCAAAAGGGGAGGTGATATGTATCCACATATATATATGTGTATGGTGGTCTCCCTTTCTGTTGCTCTCTTAGTCTGTGACCATTTCACTTTGATGAACCTGTCTCCTTTAACAGTGTATATTCCCCTTATATTATATATAGTATGTGTGTTTGTTTGACAGTCTGTTATATTTCGCTATGTATATATGGATCGATACTCCATCATAATTGACCAATCATGTTAAGACTGTCTATTGATTTGTTCACGCACTTGTTTGGAAATTCATATATATATTGATTCTCCTTGTGTTTGGAAAATAGAAGTATCATCGCAAACCTAGTGGTTTTCTGATTTCTGTCTTTCTTGCGTCAGGACTATTAGATTCTCGACCAGTACCTAACAATAATTTCGCGACGAGTACATAACATATCACGGACGGATTCTCTCGTAAAGCATTAATTCAATCAATACTTATCCCCCACAAAGACACATTAGAGCAAAACAGAAAAGAACAAAATGGGATTAGATCCATTCCGTACATGGAAACGCTCAAGCAAAATCGGATGTCAGTGTAGTTGAAGATTGAACGATCAATTCATGGTTGTTTGCTCAAACCCAACTCCTCCATAATTTTCGCGGGAGTCATCGACAGTGTGGTCATCTTCTCATCGGTCGCTGTTCAGTGGAAGAGAGAAAAACTATCAGAAATATTATTGTGACTTGTTATAACATTTATTCTTAGACTTTGAGTACAATAACCTAATGGTTGGCTCTGTATTGGTGCAAGAATAAACGGTTCTTGAGTTACCAATTTGCTTTCTCGTTTTTCGTGTTAGTTATTACGCATAGTTTCTTAAAATCTTCGAGGGACTGCGTGAGGTCCAGTGTAGTAAGACCTAGACATTGACAAGCACCAGAAATTATTTCAGAGACCTCAGTGTACACATTTAAACCACTAATACAGCGGGTTCGGTAGAAGAAAAACGTATCCTCCGATTGTAGGTAGAGTGGCTTAAGACTATGCAACGATTGGCATAAAAGTATACTGCTGCTCAGCCGAAGCAAATTATCTAGCCACACTGTCCTGGGGAGACCAAAAGCTTTTGTGGATTCAAAATTCCACCGGAAACAGGCTGGCCTCAAGAAAATGGAGCTATGTGAGAGTTGAATTGCAGCACTACTCATCATCGGACAGAAGAAAGAATGGCAGTCAGACCCCTATCTCAACTTATCTGACTTTGAAAAGACTTTTGACAGAATCGACCACGAATTAATTTTGAGTTTACTTCCACACTTCAGAGTGCCCCGAAACCTTTATCAACCCCATTCAGTAGCTCTATAGTGAAGCTCCATTTCCTACAATTTGCAACGGAAGACTCAGCGAAGCCCTCGAACTAAAGACAGAACTAAAACAGAGCTACTTATTACCACTTATGACATCCCTCATTATAGTGGGCTGAATCATGCAACAGACCATGGGGAGCGGGAAGACGAGAATACACTATGCCGACAAGAAGACCCCAGGAAATCTGGGCTTCATGGACGACTTTTGTCTAATGTCATACAAACTGAGTGATACAAAGGCGAAAATCAACAATTTGGCAGGAGAGGCAGGAGGTGAGTTAGAGCTTAAAGTGAGGATAGCGAAGAGAAGGGTGATGAAGATACTCAACCAGCACTAGCAAGTCTCAATCACTATCAGCAGGAGAAATCTGAAGGAAGTGACCTATTTCACTTAACGCCTCACCAGTATCGTTTCAACTACAGGCGACACAAGTGAGGATTTCACTTCCCACCAAGATTAGGAAGGCGAATTTGCCCTCTGAATGAGTGAAATAGGTGTAGAAATCTTTCACACATAACCTAAATTCGCGTATTCTTTTTCCCAATACCATTCAATATCCGGACACATTTTAATTCTGATGCTTATATTGCACTTTCAAGTAACTTTCAGCGGGCATATTTAAATTAATTTGCGTCTGCTTCATCTGATGATATGGATGAAGTTGTAATCCGGGAGGTAAGGAACTCCGGCTGCCTAATACCAACGCAAAGATACGTGCATTTACCTGGACGCAGATTTATACAAACACGTCCATCATTCCATCACTCTTTTTGGAATCGCGAAGCCAGCGAATTTATCAATCGATGACGTTTAAACGGGAGTACTGAGAAGTTTACGAATTTGGACTCATTTCCTTCTTAGAACCTTAATTTTCTGTGTCAGTCAGGGGAAATAAATTTATGAAATCACATGATTATAGAAAGTATAATTAGCGTCTCAAAGACCTTACGACTTATGCTGATTATTGCAAATAGGCGAAGAGACACCAAGTGCCAAATATCAACAGAGTTCTTCTGAGCATTCTGAAAACCTAGTAAGCGAGAGTTAAGAAATCAGATTGTGTGATTTTAACCAATTTATTGGTAGTTGCTCATTGTATTTCTAAGCGAAAAACCAGAAAAATTCATTTGGATGCATACAGCACCGATAAAGGTAAGTAATTTAGAGGGAATCCATAAGTCGAGACTTTCGTTTGAATGCACCATTGTCTAGGTCGTTAACTACGAGCGGTCAAAAGTGGCTGTCTTTAGTTTACGATTTTACGGATGTTGTCTCCTGGGGGTTGTGTTGACGAACAGGGTGATGAAGATGAAGACTCTGACTCCTCCTCCTCTTCTCACGAAAGTTTCAAATATACTGGTAACAAAGAACTGAATGATTTCTACCAGGGCTTAAAAAACGAAATATTCTTGAAAAAATCGACTGGTAAGTCCACATTCCAGTCTATCACTTTCCGAAATACCAACAAATGCCTGCAAATCCACAATCGGAATTACCACTGTTTTGAAGGAAAAGGCGGCAACAGTAAAGAATTGACACCAAATCCAAATGGCCTTGAATGTAGCAATTATAACCTACGTGAAAATTACCGTTTATTCAGAAGAAAAAAGTGTATTTATAAGGCATATATTTGAAAAACTGAATTATACAGGGTTTATATCTACAAGATGCCGAAAATCTAGGCTTAGTTTCTCACAGGAGTATCTGAATACATGTAAAATCAAAGTCGATGCAAAAAATCTAACTAGTTGTATATCATATCACATCGGGAACCATTTACTATAATTATACGTTTTTTAGATTCACCCAGAATCCTTCAATAGGCAACATCGATTTTTTAAAGTTTGGGTTCAGAAAAATGATTGACCTTATCATGAATAGTCTAATAATGATAATAAAAAAGGGAAACGTCTTCCCTCTTCGTGTTGATTCCCACCTTTACCTGTATCACTTCCCCACTTTTTGGCATTCTTCGAAATGTCCTTTTTAGTGTAGTGCCATTCATGAAGAATTTAGTGATTAGCTGTTTACAGTGTTAAATACTAGTTTAAAGATAGAAAGTTTTTTATTTATTTCGGGCTGGTTAGGTGTTTTTGGAAAGATTTTTAAAACCAACTAGCACAATTAATCCATAAAACCATATGCTTACATATTTGGGAAAACTGTGGAGGGCAATTTTGGGGAGAAATGTTGCATTTAAACCTAATTTTTGCCTCCAGATTTTCCATTTGAGTGCATTTATAAAATTCAACCTACTACTGTTCGTTTGGGAAGTGTTGGGAGAGACTGCCTGGAAATGAAGTATCATTATGAATTGCCTCAGCCATATGTTGCGAAAATGAGATCAAGACTTTTTGTAACATTTTTTCTCCTTCACGTTGCCAGTGGAACATAGGGCCTCAAGCTACTGGCTTGAATTTTTTGTAGCAGTGTTTAATTTTACAGGATGAGGTTACTAGCCTCATGACCAACCTTCCCTCTTTACCAGTCTTATTTCTGGCTTAGCGAGGTAAAGGAGTGCGTCGGCCGGGGATCGAACCCGGACCATGTACATGGTAGGCGAGCGTCCTAACCGCTATGCTACTGACGCGCAACTCGGGTCGCTGGATTCAGAGTCCAGAGTGCTAATAACTACATCAAAAGGCCACTTTCTAACATAACCTAATTCTGTTTCAAACTTTTCCAAACGCTTTCTTTAAGATTGTGACATTAGAATTCGATGACGGTGGCTGTCATGTCTCCTACTCCCTGGGAATCTCATCAAAATAACATTTATTCAATGATTTAATTAATAAATCGTTCATGGGATTATTTTGTAGACGGAGTCTCTTGTTCATTATCTCGTGTCAGATGAGCTTCATAGCACATTTCAGGCTTCAGAATGCCACGCACTATCTGATTTACAGTCACTTCCAGATCTCTCTATTATGTTGCCTGTCTTTAAAAACTAAGTTGTAAAGTCCCCAAATTCACTTTGGATTTTTCATCCTTTCAAGATGTCGCTTGCATTCCCATTGCCTGGTGCAAAGTTGACTGTGACAAACAAGTATTGATCTTTTCTGTTACCTATGAAATCTGATTATCATTTTTCTGTCATTCTCACTCGTTCTACATAAACATCTATAAATTAGTGATTACACCTGTGAGTACTTACTCACCAATTTATTGAAAAGAGTAACCAAGTCTTTCAGACTGGCTCCCACAAAATTTAATCCAAATCAGATTATCCATTTTAAGTAAACTTTAGTAATTAGCGACTGTATTAACGTTTGTACCAGTTGAAGTGAATGCTAAGAGTTTGGAGACTTTGGCATTATTGGAAAGCGGTTATAGTGCTTTGGGATTTACGGGCTGAAACCTTCTACAGCTGTCAGTGTTAAATATTGCGACTGACTGTAACCAGCTTCGTTATTAGTAATTTCTCTCGAATCGTAAAGAAGTGCTTCTCTACCTTCATGCTATCGCTAAAAATAATTGTAAACGCTAAAAACGATAACTACTTTTATTGGACACTAGCCGCATTTTTTCCCAAGTGTTCGCAAAAATTGCACTGACTTTAAGCGATTATTTACTAGATATCTAGAAATGTGTTACTCCAAGCTTTTAAACTTTGCCTTACTCATAAAGTTGACTTAGAGGAAGCATGGATTACAAACACACCTGGTAGTCATCCTCAAAAGGGTCCGTAGGGCTGTTTCATGCCAAAATAACTGTCCACTTTTACGCATGTGTTTGAGATCCTAAGAATGCTGTTATCGACCTATATCATAGAAATAATAAGTCGGACAATACCAGGCATGCTCCATCCAAACTAAATGTACCAGTCAGTTCATGTCTTGTTAAATTCTGAAATATTAGCGTTTATTGATATTTTAGTATTGGACTTGTTTCGCCATCAGTTCTTGCAATATTATCTGCTTAGAATTCTAAATAATTGTGTTTTATTGTTAGTCCACTATTCAAGTGTGTAACTGCATAAAGAGATGTGGTAAGCCCTTATAGATAAGATTTTATTTTGATAAGTCATTCACGTTAACCAACAGTGTTGTACAACTGAAAAATAATATTGTTGTAATTGATTAGCTTTATTACTTGATTTTTTTTAAATCATACAATTTACTTTAGAAAAATGTGTCAATGAAAAGAATCAAATTCTATGTACTACTTCCTCGGAATATACGTCGAATTCAAACGATGCAAGCTCACAAGTTTCGACATACAAATCCGCAGATTGGATTGGTATCTTCCAGAAAAGTTGTAAGTAATTTTTTTGGTGTCTTTGTTTTTCATGTAATACAAATAAAACACTTTTTTATAGACTTTTTTATAGACAATCGGGAATTAGGAATATTTTTGCGAGTTGATTTATTCTTGCACTAACTTATAAAGTTTCACTGCTCATTATTATTATTTTGTTTTGTATTAGATGTTAAGAAAGGGCTAGTTTCGCATATGCCAGTGTACGTCGTCTCTGGCATAGACGCGATATACGACTGGCTATCGACCAAAGGGCGGGCGTACTCCTCAGCAGTCCGCTCCCTCCTCGTTTATGACTAGCTGTGATGTGAGACCTGGCCACGGAGAATGGAAGACATAAAAAGATTAGCTGTCTTCGATCATAGATGCCTGCGTTGTATCTCCCGTGTGAAGTGGTATAATAAGGTGAGCAATATTAAGGTTAGGAATCGGTCAAGTGCTAGGTAAAGAGGGAAATCAATCGACGAGTCCGAGAAGCTGCATCGTCTGAGGTGGTTAGGACATGTGTTACGCATATCTAGCCTAGCCATTGATCGCCCTCCTCGACGGGCAATGTTAGCTGATATAGGGCCAGGCTGGAAAAGAGCTAGCAGCTGTCAAACCAAAACATGGCTTCATCAGTCAATGAAATCCACAACATTTAGTTTAAGCCAGCCAGCCACTTCCTGACTGGTTGGGGTCCTCAGGACGGTAAAAACCAATGGTTAGAAACAATTGGTGATATGGCTCAAACTCATCGTTCTCAATGGCTGGTGCACATTCATCCACTCTTTGTGATATACCCAATGAAACTATATTGTTCTTCGTTATTACTATTCCTTTGTCCATCTCACACCTTTGTTTTCTATCTCTATTATGCATTTCTTCTACCTTATTCTCTTGCTTTGTGTGCTACAAGGAGTGTGGTGATTTGAACAGCCGCACATTAGTGCAAAGTTCTATGTTGAAAACAGACAGACAAACAAATGTTAAGAGAAGTCAATGGACATCAAAACCTTAGTTTACTCTGATCAGAAAAACAGATTTATAATCTTACAGGATATTTTATATTCTCAATGAGATTCGAAAAAAACTAAATGCTTCATTCAATATGGCAAAAATATTCATTGAGATATCTGTAAAACACAAAATAATTGAGCAAAGAAGAATATCCCCCTTTCGATAAATTCCTCTTCTGGCTCTACAAGTATATACGTAGATGTTGATATACATAGTATATTCTAGATTAGTAGTCAATAACCATTTTAGCGTTTTTTTAAAATAATATCGATTTGTAAAGTGAAATAAATGAAAGAACAGTTCACGAAAGATACATAAGTTATTAACCAGCTTGTTAATATTCTGGTTGACAGACACTTGGACTCATGTGAAAAATGGGCTAAATCCATTCTATCTGTCTATCTCACACCACCCTCTTCATTCACAACTCCCCCCCCCCTTGTATCTCATCAGCCAGGACCAAAAGCCTATATAGAAAATTATATGCTCGCACTAGTATGTACAAAAACTCAACCATACCCTACCTGGCTAGCTGGTGTTCTGTGCGATAAGGAAAGCATTAGGCGTGATACCTATAACTTATTAAATAGTCAGTAGAACAATTGGATCTCATCTTTCCAACTCATATAATTTATGAGTACAACGTTTTCTTTCTTTCTTTTCCTTTTTTTTCTCTCTCTTTTCTGTGTTATGTGCTGCTTCGTTTCTTTCTTCTGCTTACGCCAGTAAATATGCTAGAACCTACTTTTCTAGCACCTTCAAATACTCTTTAATTTTGGCTTTGCTACCGATATGCCAATATGTTGTTGTCAAAACTAACTGAGATTACCCTTAATCTATGTAGAATTTTATTTATTGTAAATTTACTAACTGGATGCAATGCTGTAGTAAAATGCTGAGAATTCCATTCTGTATCACAAGTACTGTTTTGGAATAAAGCAAATTATTATTATTAAATAAGCATACAAATATAGTAGCAAATAGAATATCATCTAAAATTAGGAAATTTACACAACAAAATGAGGATTATGTCTGAGCAAACTTCTTTTGGATGCACAAATTAGGCTTGTTTATATGGATCTTCACAACCAGCCTCAGCAATATTTAGTAGTCGAACTCTTAATGCAAAGTTGAGATTCGTAGGTATGCGGTAAATGACCCTGAAAGCATGGTTAACATCAGTCTTGTGTTCTGTATCCACAAGATGAGATAGAACAGTGTTGCGAATGGATTTTCTTTGTCCTTTACTCAACCAACCAGACAGGGTGATGTTCGGAAATTTGACGAGAAACATGTCTTGTTGTACGGCCTATGTAACTAGCTCCACAGAAGCAGTTAAACTGGTAGATACACACATATGGAATACGCGAAATTAGGCAGTCTACCTTTTACTCCCGAACGCAAAAGAGGAGTAGTTTTGAAGACATAGCGTAATTCGGCAGTTGGGAATGCTCTTTTTACCGCATTTCTAAGGTGCTGTGTTAGTATCTCGCTGACGTTGTCCCCAAGGAACGGCATTTGTAAGAATAAGGCCTTTTTGGAACTGTTGGTACTTTGGACTGCTTTGATTTTAGATTCATTTTATCAATAAACTTTTCTGGATAACCATTTTCACTCAGCAACCGTTTAGTATTATTAAGTTCCTCATCAAGACATTCATCCGAGCAAATTGCTATTGCTTTGGGGAGGACCAAGCACTTTATCGGATTGCGTTTGTATTTCAAAGGCACAAAGCTGAGAAAATGAGTATACTGACAGCCAGATGATGTAGGTTTACTATATGGAAAATAACTTTTTAGGTACCACAGACAGCTTCCCAATGAGTAGCGATAAGCGCACGTGGCGTAAGTAACAGAAGTTTCTATTGATTAATTCGAAACCCCCAGTGGAACATAAGACTTCAAGCTAAAGCTTTGAAGTTTCCATAGCAGTGGTATTTATTTTTTGCGAGATGGTGTTGCTGCTAGCCTTATGCCGCCCAACCTTCTCTCTTCACTAGTCTTATTACTGGCTTAGCGAGGTAAAGCTGTGCGTCAGTGACCGGGATCGAACCCCGAACCACCTACGTGGTTGGTGAGCATCCTACTGCTGTGCCACCAATGCTAGAAGATAAATTATCAGACTTAAAACCTGACTGACAGAAAACTACCTAAGAATAACTAACCTCTTCGTGTATTTATCGTTCTTATTTCCTATGGCAAATTCCAGAATAAAGCTTTTGATTCTAAAGTCAGTAAATCACTTCTTTAGTGCTACTTTAATAATAATAATAATGATTTAATTTATTCCAAAAACAGTACTTGTGATACAGAGTGGAATTTTCAGCATTAGTCACAATATTGCATCTAATTTCCTCAAATTATAAATAAAATTAATCACACAGAAAATCTTGCACATTTACAATAGGGGTAATGTCAAAAACATGCAGCTAATAAAATGGAAATAGCAATAATAATGATAACAGCTAAGGTAATAATAATAAAAATACAAGTGAAAATTGCCGTTGGCTTGTGTCACACAGTATTGGCAATGCTGTATAGAAATCCTAGCACGTTTAAAAACATTGAATATAACGTTCTCTTTACATGATATGGTGAAGGGAAAAACAAAGATTACAGCCGTCATGGAGATAAGTTGGTGTTTGCAATTATGATAGTAAAACAAAGAAGTAACAGGACCATAAATATAATAGAAATAATAAAAGGTATATAAGGATGGATGGAGGAAATTGTTTATTTACTAGATGAAAAAAGGTTAGTTAATTCTTGCCTGACTATTTTCATCACATAAAATATGTGCCAAGTATGGTATCATAGAATTTTTATACTTAGACGTACGAGCATACAGTTTTCTGAAGTTACTCCTTGTTCTACCTGAGGCGGAGATGCAAGGTGAAAGCTGAGGGTAAAGTGGATGCTCCAAGTTAGAAAAAATCCCTCTAGCAAATTTATTGCACAAAGTTAAAGTGCCTATCAACAATGACGTTAACTATGTGTGGTCCACTGGGACACCACTCACCCTACTGACAGTCTTCAGCACTCTACGAATTGTGACATAGTCTTTTTTTAAGCAAACCAGGAAAGAATAAGCAAGGGTAAACAATAAAGAAGAAGAATAGGTAGGATGCCAGCAAGAGTTTACGAACTGTAAGAGGTGGGAGGGATTGAGTTATACTCGAGTGCCTTAACTCTCTTAATGTAAAATGTCAGGTGGGATATTTTACTGGAGATCACTGAGAGACATGGAAAGACCAGGAGAGATCAGAAGAGAGAATAAGTCAAAGATACTTAATTTCTGATTTAATTCCTAAATCTGATGCTTAAATAGTGCACACAGTCTAAAATATGTCATCCTACTACACAATTGATGTACACGTACATGGAGTCGATCAGAATCTAAGTGTAGTAGGGATAAAGTCATTAACTTTGTTACTGAGCAACACACAGCGATGAAGAGTGGACGCTACATAAACTGCCGAAAACTTCGCTGATGTGTATACTACAAAGTAAAACAAAACCTGAACAAGAAAGAATCGAATTTCAGAGGAGTAAAATAAGTTAAATCACAGACAGACGTTATTGCCATTTTTAAGTTAACAGAAAAATTAGGTCCCCTATTTACTATCTAAACATCTAAGTACCACAAGTTGATGTAGGATTAGGTTGAAAAAGAGATACTGGTGGTCATATGAAAACCTGTCATGAAGTCTTTGACATTTGGTTTAAATCAGCCACGTAAGGAGGTGAAGACTGCCTTCTTGGAGTCTTTGGGGTGCTAAGAACCAATGGCTTGAGACTGTTGATGATATACCTCAAAGTTGTTCTCAATGTCCCAGACGCCTTCACTCTTTACAGTCTCCCAGATTTATTCACTCCTCATGTTTCTCTACGATTCTATTGTTTCTGCTCGTTGTAGATCTTTCGAATTGCTTTTGTCTCTCCTCTACCTTTGTATGCTGCATGGAATGTGACGACTTGAACTGCTCCACTTCTGTGTAGAGCTCTATGTTGAAATTCAATTAGTCAGTTATTGAATAATATATTCGGTGGTCTTTAGTTTTAAGATATTAACCTTCATGTCTATCATATACATTTCTCATTTCACTTTTAGTAAAGCTTGACAGTAATAAATCCAATCTATACAATTTATTCATAAAATCTGTACGATATGATCCTCAGTACAAAGGTTTATGCCTTCAGCCATTGAATGAAAATACAACAGTAAGTATGCTTTTTTAATTATAACTAATAATATCGTTGTTTTAATTTATCTAAACTGTAAAGAAATGATGTAGCATAGGTTATTTATATTATTTTTCTCTTGGGTTCCGAATGGAACATAGGGCTGGCTTCAACAACACATCTCCATCTTCTTCTCCTATTTTCTTCTGTCCTCTTCACCAGCTGGGTCTACGATTGCCCATAATCTCTCATCTCTTCCTCCTCCTCCTCCTCCTCAACACACGATCTCCTCCATGTCACCATCATCGCACCTACGACTCACTCGTCGTTTCCCATTGGGATTCCACTCGAGCAATCGTCTGCATTGCGCACGATGTCATTCGACGGTTTCCTCAGTGGCGTATGCCCGATCTATTCATCTCCATTTTCTCCTGCATATTTGTTGAGTGATCGACTCTCGCCTGTTGGTTTGTTCCCAGCCTCCAAAGCCTCAGGATGGTCGGGGGTGGGTGTCTTGCGCTGCGGGTTGGCCACCCCTCCACACACCTCTTGAAATGCTCCCATATGACCGGGCGTCTTACATAGCCTCTCCTGAGGAAGTCCTATTCACTGCCTTCACGTGGCGGAGGTGTTTTTCACCAAAGTGAGAGGGCAAAAGCGGATGCCCGGCGCTCTTCACCGGGTTCACTGTCCATTGGATGACAGTCTAGGGGAGATGGCTAAACCCCGATTCCAAACCTTCAACGACTGGCTTATGAAGCTCATCGGAGCTCACTGGCAGACGTATGGACAAAGGGCTTATTGGATGCCCTGGATGACTGGTCCCATTCAAAAAGGCGAATGAACCGGACTCCGGCCACCAGCTGCCAATGGATAATGGACTCCCTACTCCACTCCTACTGCCTTGTAGGTCACGCTTGGTTGTGTAAAGGCTAGAGCTGCACTCTCAAACAAAAGGCCGAGCGATTCTGGGGACATCACTCGTACCCAATTCCCATGAAACTTCATGGTTCATGAAGCCGGCTCATCCTCCCGTAGGAGATAGCCGAAGTAAAGTAAAAGTAAGTTTGTTCCCAGCCAGAGTTTCTTGTTGGTAACTCTTTCTGACTAGCTGGCCATTTGATCTTCAGTATAGAGCCAATGAATGCAGCATTTGATAAAAGTCTGATGCATATAGAGAAAGTGATTGACTCTCCACTGACATATTTGTGTTGAAAAAACTGAGTCTTGTACTTTATGCTGGCTGAATATGAAGCAGAAGATTTATAAACTGGCTTTTCAGGTTGATGAAAGCGCGTGTATCTTGCCTTTCCGATTCTCACTTTGACGTCTTCATCCGTCTGATGAGGTGCCTGTAGTTGAAACGATGCTTACTGCTTGGATAAGTGAAGGAGGTAACCTCTGTTAAGTCTCTCCCCTTGGTGATGATTGGTGGTGGTTTTTGTTAATGTTGCTGTCTGTTGGTTGGTTATCTTCAGCACGGATCCGAAAAGCTCGAGCTGCTTTCGCTGACTTACACCATCTCTGGCGTAGGCGTGACATCCGGTTATCAACCAAGGGACGTGTGTACTGCTCATCAGTTCGCTCCGTCCTTCTCTATGGCTCTGAAACATGGCCAATACGCGTTGAAGACATGAAAAGGTTGACTGCTTTCGATCATAGATGTCTGCGATCTCTGTCTCACGTTAGATGGTTTCACAAGGTAAGTAATGTTGACGTTAGGCGTAGAGTGTTGGGCAAAGAGGGAAAATCAATCGACGAGGCTATAAAGTTACATAGACTAAGATGGCTAGTTCACGTCCTGCGGATGCCGAACCACCGCCTCCCCCGACGGGCATTCCTAGCTGATATAGGTTCAGGTTGGAAAAGAGCCAGTGGTGGCCAAACAAAAACATGGCCTCATCAATCCATGAAATCCTTGACAGTTAAACTGAGTCAGGTAGGGAGATGCAGACTTCCGAGTTGGGGCCCTCGGGACTCTAGGAATCAATGGCTGGAGACAATAGGTGACATGGCTCAAAATCGTTGTCGATGGCCAGCGCAGATGTATTCAGTCTCTGTAATCTTTCATATTCCTTTTTTACCATTACCCATTCTGTTTCACTCTTATACTTGTCAGACTGTATTGATTCTCTTCACTCATCTTCTTGTCTACCTCTGTGTGTGCTATTTGGAAGGTGGCAACTCGAACTGGTGCACTTCGATGCCAAGTTCTATGTTGAATCCAGACAGACAGACTTCATCACCTCCGTCTTCTCAATGTTCACCTGGAGTTCTGTCTTCGCCGACTGCTTCCACACAACCAGTTTGTTGCTTTTCGCCTGCAAGTTTTCGAGTTCGTGTGACATCAAACATATATATATATATATCATCTGCGAAATCCAGATCTTCTAGAGTCTTCTTATCGGTGGTCCAGCGTATTCCTAACTCCTTGCTCTCCATAGTCCGACGCATAATCCAGTCCACTACAATTAAGAATATCATCGGTGATAATGGGCATGCAGCCTTGTCTTACTCCTGTATGCACTTCTAACGCTTCGTTGAGTTTTCTGTTGTGAATCACCTGACACGTGGCATTGTCATATAACTGTTGGATCAGGTTGATGAACACACTTGGGGTATAGGTTACAAATAGTTAATTGACTCTCATATCCCTTGATTATTATGCACTTTAAGATGTTTACAATAATTCCAGCATCTTTTGTTGTCTACATGTTTTGATGCTGGCTTCCGATTGAAATCCAGACCACAGATTCCATCATTATTTGTGACTTGCCAACTGGTGGATACACCTGCACTCTTAGTGAGTGGCGGTGTTTCCAGCTTTTGTGCAACCGGCATATATTATACTCGTGATTGCCCGCTAATGTTCCTGGATTGGTTTAATCAGCTTTATTTTGGTATATAGGCTGCTTGAACGGATGCCGCGATATAATTTTGTATTATTATTATTATTATTATTCCATTGGGTTCCAAGTGGAACATCTGGCTTCAAAAACACATCTCCACTTTCTTCTATTTTCTGCTGTCCTCTCCACAGCTGAGTCTATGATTCCCCATGATCTCTCATCTCTTTCTCACATGATCTCTTCCATATTACCCTAGGACGACCCACTCATCGCTTCCCATTCGAATTCCACTCGAGCATTGGCTTTCATTCGACGGCTTCCTCAACGTATGCCCGATCCATCCGTCTCCATTTTCTCTCACATATTTGTCGAGCAATCGGCTCTTGGTTGGTTTTTTGGCAGCCAGAGTTCCGTGTTACTAATTTTTTTCTGGCCAGTAGCTGTTGATAAAGGTCTTCAACAGGCTGTTGGTAATTCTTTTTCGTGACACACTGGTCATGTGTTCTGACCCGTATAGAAGAACTTCACTTACAAAGTTCTAAGTTGAAACCTCGTCACCCAGCATCAACAACAAAATTTGGTCGGATTTTCAATACAAACAACGTCAAGTCAGTCAGTTCTTCTATACGTATTAGAAAGTTGGTGGGCGGGTCACAAAGAATATTTCCAACAGCCTGTTGCAGACCCTTTATCAACCAACAACTGTCTTCGCTGGCTCTATACTGAAGATCAATCAGATGGCCGGGCCGGAAAGAATCACCAACTATTGGAAACTATGGGAACAAACAAACAAAACAAGAACCAATCGCCAACCAACAAATATGCAGGAGAAAGTGGAGTGAGATGGATTGGACACTACTCGTCGAGGAGGCCGGGTCACTGGGTGACATCGTACTAGCGTCAGGCCATTGCTCGAGTGGAACCAGGCCGAAAGGGAAGCGGCTAGTGGGTCGTCAGTGCAAGGGTGACATGGAGGAGGAGATCGTGTGAAGAGGAGTTGAAAGAGTATGGACTAACTAACATGGATGCATGTGAAAAGTACACCAGAAAACAGAAGTGGCAAGTGGAGAGGTGCAGTTGAAGCCCTATGTTCCACTAAAAATCCAAGGGAACAATAATAATAATAAGTTGAAACCAGTCAGTCAGGTTGGAGTTTGCTGGTGAAAAGGTTCCTAATGGCCTAAATGTATTTACTCACTGTAATTTTCCCAAATCCCAAAAGCCCTCACTAATCTTCACGTAGTTATTTCCTTGCTTGTTGTTATATACTCATTTACTTCTATTCTGATAATAGTATATTTTCTGGTCAGTTAGTTATACCACTGGACAGCTGACTTCCGTAGTTATTACTATTCCTTTGCGTTCCGAGTGGAGCATAGGACCTCAAAAGCACATCTCCATTTCATCGTGCTTTCTGCAGCCTTCTTAGCTGGTTGTACGATTGCCCATATGCTCTCATCTACTCTTCACATGATCTTCTCTATATCATACACATGGATGCCCAACTCGTTGTTTCCCGTCCAAGTTCCACTTGAGGGCGTGACTAGCGTGTGATTTCACTCAACGGTCTCTTCAGCGTATCTGCCCAATTCATCTCTACTTCTTTTTGCAATTGGTTCTTGGTTAGTTCATTGCCCGAGTTCATTATCGTTAATCCTTGCTTTCCATCTTATCTTCAGTATAGAGTTAAGACAGTTGTTGATAAAAGCCTACATTGGCTTGTTGGAAATGCTTTCGGTGACTTGGTTGCTAAGTCTCCAGTTCGTATAGAAGCATTTACTTAAAGGTTCCAATCTTTGTTCTTTATGCCTGTATGCAACAGATTTTCCAAACTAATTTCAAAGTAATAAAGATCTCTTGCTTTACTAATCCTAGTTTACAAGATTTCACCATGAGCTGACATTGGTTAGAGAGCCATTGGAAAACCTGGGAGTACTGGACAGCTGTTTCGTTCTAGTTTGGGACTCTTCTTCAGTACGCACCCACACTGCGGGGTTCGAATCCAGGACCTTCTGGTTACTAATTTACTTTGATATCCTCATCCGATGAGGAACGTTACTGTGTGGTCAAAGCGGAGTTTGATTACCGGATCCACTAATTAAAAAACTGAAACTTCAGGGTGAATGCATCCATTGTTAATCTCCTGATATCGTATATGTTGTGGATCATTTGAATCTTTATGCTTAAGCTTAATGTTCCATTTTTCAATTATCTTTCAAAACGTTCTCATCTATTCATTTTTTTTTTCATTATTGTCTATAGTCGACGCATATATCCGCCTTACCGTTTGAATTACTTCTGAGAATTGTTCGATGGACTATTGGTAGTCATTTAGATATACGAGTTCTAGGTACATTGGCTTGTGTGAGTTTACTATACTTTTTTAGTTATGATTCACTTATTTTTTTATATGATGTTGTATTCCTCCTACTGTGGCGAGCGAGTGCTACTGATAAGATTTATTAGTAGTATATAAAGGGACTTTCATCGGCATAAGAAGGCAAATGATGCAGCTCTGTGAAGATGCCTGGGAGACGACATGAAAAGAACACAAAGAAACATACACACAGGCAATATGAAGTCCAGAAGTGTACCACAACACGAAGATCTGTGCAAATGTGGTGCGTTGAAGATAAGGTGTGTGTACATAATTTGGCTATATATATATAGAGGTACCAATTTCCAAAAATAAAAACAACTTTCCCTTACCAAGTCTTCATCATTGACCGTTTTACTATGACAAATATAATTGATATCAAGATTGATTTCGGTACAAGATGACATCAGTTAAAGAACTATTTTTTCTTACATGACTTGCCCCATTCTGATGTAGCCACTTTTGTTAAGTATGCTGATGACCTCTCTGTTTCTAAGCCTGTCAACTCTCAGTCAGATTGTTTCAAATTAAATAACTTTCTGTTGGAAATTAGTCAGTCGTCCTCTTCAAACGGTCTTAAGCTAAATCCGTCTAAATGTCAGGTAGTCAATTTCACTTTCAGACGTAAACGTGACCTATAACAACTAGTTAGCTCACATGGCCCCACTATCATTGACGGCATAGAGGTTGAAAATACATCTAATGTCAAGTATCTTGGGCTGAGTTTTTCCACCGATCTTTCCTGGTCTTCCCCCATCTTGCTAGTTACTAGAAAGATGTTTCGCTTAACGTTCTACATTAGGAAATTTAGGTAGTCTGGCATAAGGCAGTCTTTGCTTTCTCAGTTTGTCAATTCTTGTATTCTACCCATCTCCCTTTACTGCTCCCCATTAATCTTTCCTGGACTACTTAAGAAAGTCTTTGCTTTGCTGAGAAGGGCAGGCACTAAAAGCCGTTAGTAGGGCAAGTGGGATATCGTTAAACCAACTGGTTAGACATATAATGTCATGTAAGAAACTAGCGAATACAATGTTGTCAGACCCCGAGAATCCTCTCTATACGCAGCTGTCTTCTTGCATTTCATCTGGTAGAACTAGAAGCAGCTATAGGCGGCTATATGCTAGGACTACCAAATACAAAAACTCCACAATACCATATCTGGCACAGCTGTTGTGTGGTGATGAGAAATCCGTTAGGTATGAAACGATAAACTTACTGCGGGACTCTAACAAGTAGTCTCATTAGTTTTTGTCTTCCTTTCTTCGTTACTATTATATTGTTGTTCCCATCTTCTATTACACACTAATTTTATATTTCATATCCTGTGGTGCATTGTTTAAAATGTAAACGCAAAGCTGTTCTTTTTATTTCTTTTCATTTATCTATTTTTTTGGTTGTTGTGTTTTGATTTAAAAATCTTATAAAATTGATTTGGCAATTAGATGCAATATTGATATGCACGCTGAAAATTCCATACATGCACCACAAATACTGTTTGGAATAAAGCTATTATTATTATTATTATTATTATTATTATTATTAAAGCCAAGATGTACATCCCAGTTGAACAGTACACACCCAAGACTACACTGTAAGTTTGAACCACAATCATTGTGTATTACTGAATGAGCAGGTTATCTATTATTTATCGTATCATTTGGTTCTGTGGCTGGTGCCCAGTTCGTGGTAAAATCCACCCTGAAAAATTAATCATCTAAAACATTGAGTCAATAAATTTATAAATATCTTTTTTTTTTAAAGTTCTAATTCCTTTCCGTTCCGACGGTGAGGGGACATGTCAGTGATGCCCATTATCCCTATTTCTATTCAATTTCATCACATAGATGTACTAATGGATTTAACCCTAACTGACTTCAAAGACTCAGCGATTGACTTACTACCACTAGGCAATAATCTCGTTGACTTAGAATATGCAGACGATATAGTCTTCCCTCCAAGTTGAAGACGCTAACAAAATCCAGTAGAGTCTTCTGAACACCTTGAGCTGCAATCTACGAATGTTTGGCAATGCGATTCGCTCCTACTGTCAAATGTAAGATGATGGTACAGGACTGGACTGAACTACACTGACTCCTAGTTTAGAAATAGGCAGTAGTGAAGTGGTTGGTGGAGCGTGTTGACCACTTCACTTATTTGGGAAATTGCATTAGCCAGTGCCAACGGTTTGATCTCTGTCTGTCTGTCTGTCTGTTTTCGACATAGAAATTTGCACAAATGTGCAACAGTTCAAGTCGCCACATTCCGTGTAGCACGCGAAGCAAGAGAAGAAAGTACAAGAAAAGCATAATAGAGGCAGTAAGCAGAGGTGTGAGACAAAGGAATAGTAATAACGAAGAACAATATAGTTTCATTGGAGATCTTAAGTCACAAGGAGTGGATGCATCTGCGCCACAGAGAACAATTTTGAGCCATGTCACCAATTGTTTCCAACCATAGATTTTTACCATCCCGAGGACCCCAGCCTGGAAGTCTACACCTTCCTACGTGGCTTAGACCAACTGTTGTGGATTTCATTGACTGGTGAAGCCAAGTTTTTGTTTGACCGCCGCTAGCTTTTTTCCAGCCTGACCCTATATCCGCTAACATAGCTCGTCGAGGGAGGCGATGGCTTGGCATACGTAACACATGTCCTAACCATCTCAGTCTTTGTAACTTCACGACTTCGTCGATTGATTTCCCCTGTTAACCTAGAACTCGACGCCTAACTTCAATGTTGCTCACCTTATTATGCCACTTTACACGGGAAATAGAGCGGAGGCACCTATGATCAAAGACAGCTAGTCTTTTCATGTCTTCCACTCTCAGTGGCCAGGTCTCACAGCTAGCCATAAAGGAGGACGGAGCGGACTGATGAGCAGTACACCCGCCCTTTGGTCGATAGTCGAACATCTCGTCTACACCAGAGACGGCGTAAACTAACAAATGCGAAACGAGCCTCCTGTATTCGTGCTGAGATTTCGTCAGAGATCAGCCCGTTGGGGCTGATGGTACTTCCCAAATAAGTGAAGCGGTTAACGTGCTCTGATCTCTGACGAAATCTCAGTACGGATACAGAGGGCTAGTTTCGCATATGACAGTTTACGCCGTCTCTGGCGTAGACGTGATATCCGACTGACTGGCTGTCGACCAAAGAGCGGGTGTACTGCTCACCGGTCCCCTCCGTCCTCCTTTATGCCTGTGAGCCAGACATAACCATTGAGAGTGGAAGACATGAAAAGACTGACTAGCTGTATTTGATCACAGGTGCCTGCGTTCTATCTCCCGTGTGTGTGGAGTGGTATAATAAGGTGAGCAATTTTGAGGTTAGGCGTCGAGTGCTAGGTAAGGAGAGCAAATCAATCGACGAGGCTGTGAAACTACATCGACTGAGATGGTTAGGACATGTGTTACGCATACCGCCGAGCCATCACCTCCCTTGAAAGATGGACAGTGTCAGCTGACATAGGGTCAAACTGGAAAGGAGCTAGCGGCGGTCAAACCAAAACATGACTTCATCAGTCAATGAAATCCACAACAGTTAGTTTATTAAGCCAGTCAATCACGTAGGGAGCTGTAGACTTCCTGACTTTTGGTGTCCTCGGGACGGCAAAAACCAATGAAGGCTGAAGACAATTGGTGATATGGCTCAAAACTCATCGTTTTCAATGGCTGGCGGAGAAGCATCCACTTCTTGTGACTTATGATTTCCAATGAAACTATATTGTTCTTCGTTATTACTATTCCTTTGTCTCACACCTCTGTTTACTGTCTCTATTATTCATTTCTTCTACTTTCTTCTGCTGCTTTGTGTGCTGAGTGAAGTGTGGCGACTTGAACTGTTGCACATCTGTGCAACGTTCTATGTCGAAACAGACAGACAGACAGAACCCAGTCAGGTCATTATCGATTCGAATTTTAAGCGTGATCATTGTTTGTTGGTTTTGATGGTTAGTCAGTTCATGGGTAAGTTATCTAGCCAGCGGTGTTCCTCACAAAAGGGGAAAGGGGCCAAGTTAAACTTTAAGCACCACTCACTACCAATGGAGTGCGACCACACCAATGACTTTGAAATGCTCACTGAACAAGTTAGTGAAACCTGGTAAATAATGTTGTCATCGTCAATACAATATGCTCACCGAAATTTTATGCGTGCGTCGGTGGCACAGTAGTTAGGACTCTCGCTGACCATGCACATGGTCCGAGGTTCGATCCCCTGCTGACACACACCCGATATCTATGGTCGGCCTGCAAAATTTGGGCTACCGATATCCATGCTGAAAATTCCATACCTGTACCGAAAATACAGTGTGACATCAAACTGTGATCAAAAAAACAAAATAAAAAATTTCAAACTGAACAGTCCAAAATGCTGTTAAATGGGATATCTGGCAAGTCTCAGCTTAGGTTTGAGAAAGATTAAGTTGCAATTTAGGCGAAGGACAAGTTTGGGTTAAGTTAACCTAAAAAAAGGCGACATTGGGGTTGGTTCGAGTTAGATTACAGTTAGTTTAGGGATATTTCCACGTTACGGTTAGGTTTAGGGAAGATCATGTTTGATGATATTAGATAGTTGGAGATAATCGGCCATAGGAAGCCTTGAACCTAGGTGTCGTGCTAGTTGGCACTCGTCAGCAACCTTAAAGGAACTCATGTCCACCGTCCGAGATTCGAACCCGCGTCACCCAGTTCTGCACTCAGAGACGTTACCACTGAGCTATTCGAGCTCGCGATTGACCCCCTGTGATGGCGAGCTACTTAGAATGGTGGCCACAATGAAATCCACAACAGTTGGTCTAAGCCTCGTAGAAAGGTGTAGACTTCCAGGCTGGGGTCCTCGGGACGGTAAAAATCTATGGTTGGAAACAATTGGTGACATGGCTCAAAACCGTTATCAGTGGCGCAGATGCATCCACTCCCTGTGACTTATGATCTTCAATGAAACTGTTTTGTATTTCTTTATTACTCCTTTGTCTCATACCTCTGCTCACTGTTTCTATTATGCTTTTCTTGTACTTTCTTCTCTTGCTTCGCGTGCTACACGGAATGTGGCGACTTGAACTGTTGCACATTTGTGCAAAGTTCTATGTCGGAAACAGACAGACAGACAGACATCGCAAACGTGACTGAGAGAATTCAGTCTGCACCAAAGAAAGGACTAGACACGTCGTCACACTAGTTACTAGTGTCCAATCAAAGATCAGGTTTATTGTTGGGGCTACAAGACCTAAATAATTACATCCATAGACCCCGACCGAAAGCTGCTACCTTGACGTGGTGGTCGGGCTTGAACACCGCAATGATCTATTCAAGCTATACTGGCTGAGACTTATGTCTCTTGAGGTCTACCATGCCAGGCAGGTTGTTTGGATAGCGGTTAAACAAAAAGCAGCTACCCAATCCAACATCATGTCCAATACAAAATCACAAAATTTCATGCCGGATCGGCCGTGGCCCGGATTAACAACGACCGCGCTTCCTGCTGCCGTGTCACAGGGCAGGAGTGATAAGTATGCTACTGAGGCACACCAAACAAAAAGAACGAACAAAAACAGGCCGCGTGTGACCGGCCTCAAGCAGTTGTCCCCTGGGCTCTGCGGTCACGCAACCAACTTCCACGGTGTGGGCAGCCGGGAAGTAACAATCGCCCTCACAATCCGAAATGCACGCGAAACCTCTCTATTACTCACTCATCTTTGTCTTCATCTTCATCTCTATCATCTTGCCTTCCTTCCACTGATGCAACTCCTCGACTTGATAGCTCTCCACTTCCTCTCCACTCTGCGTCCACTAAAAACGATGGAAGCCAAAAAACCACCACCGACAGCCTCTTAAAGCCGCGCCACCAATTTCATATAGGAGCTCTTAATGTTAGGACACTTTGCCAAATAGGACAACAAGCATCACTAGCCAAGACCCTGGCATCACGAGCCATTGATGTATGCTGTGTTTCAGAAACACGCATACAAGACCCAAGTGTGGTTATTCACCTAACCCCACCTGGCCAACAGGTTGAATCTGCAAAATTCACCTTGAGGGTGTCAGGAGATGCCACAGCTAGTTCACGAGGATTAGCTGGCGTAGGGATAGCTTTGAGTACTAGGGCAGAAAAGACATTGCTTGACTGGATCCCGGTAGATAGCCGAATGTGTGCTGTCCGTCTGAACGGATCAGTAAGAAGGAGAAAGGACTGCACTACTCGCCGATGCCTTTTCGTAATCTCCGCCTACGCCCCCACTGACTGCAGTTCAGATGAAACGAAGGATGAGTTCTACCAAAAGCTGTCTAGTTTGGTGCGAAAGGCTAAACGCTCAGACATAGTCGTTCTAGCTGGTGACTTTAACGCTCAAGTAGGGAAATTGTGTCAATCTGAGAAGGATGTCGGTGGCACCTATGGAGTTCCGTGCCAGCGAACCGACAACGGTGACCGTCTCCTACAGTTCTGCTCTGATAATCATTTGTTTCTTGTAAGCACTAACTTCAAACACAAGGAGAGACACTGTTTGACTTGGAGACCCCCTTCATCAAACCAACGCTGGACACAAATAGACCACATAGCAATAAGCTATCGTTGGCGTGGGTCGGTAGGAGATTGTCGCTCCTTCTGGAACACGTGTGTAGATACCGACCATGCACTGGTCCGCGCTCGGGTGTGCTTACGACTGAACGGACGTAGGAAACAGCTGGCGGTAAAACCATCACGTCCCCAGCTCGATCAGGAAACTAAATCCGTATTTGAGGAAGAACTAGCTAAACACATATCTGTGTTCGACAGCTGTGCTCACCCTGAAGAAGCTTGGAAAAATATCCAGGCAGCCATAGATACAGCTGTAAAAGCTGTGAATAAGGTAAACCCAAAGGTGAGTAAAAACCACTGGATCTCCACCGCCTCATCCGAACTGATAGATGCTAGAAGACTTATTCCGGCGAGCTCCGAATTCAATGAGGAGCGAAAGCTGCACAAGAGGAAACTTACGAAAAGTCTCCGCAAGGACCGTGAACAGTGGTGGGCGACAAAAGCCAAAGAGATGGAGAAAGCTTCGAGGATAGGCAACACCAGGCAACTCTTTAGACTCATCAGGGAAACGGGTGGGAGAAGACAAATCATTAGTGAGACAATCTCGGAAAAAAATGGCACTATAATTAGCTCACAGGATAGACGACTGGATCGTTGGAAAGAGCATTATGAGGAGCAGTTTAATTTGCCCACAGCCACGCTCAACCTTCCGAGCATCCAACACCTCCCTGAATGGGATATAGACACAGGTCCTCCGTCCCTAACTGAGGTTACTAAAGCTGTCACCAATCTGAAACTAGGCAAAGCAGCGGGACCTGATGGAATGACTCCAGAGGTATTTAAGTACGGTGGAGACAGTTTACTGTCTGACGATGACAGGCTTTAGACCAGGAAGAGGGTGTATTGATCATATCTTCACCCTCCGACAGACTCTAGAACATAGGCATTCCTACCGGCGTCCAACAATCATTATATTTCTTGACCTAAAGACAGCTCATCAGTCCGCTCCGTCCTCCTTTATGGCTAGCTGTGAGACCTGGCCACTGAGAGTGGAAGACATGAAAAGACTAGCTGTCTTTGATCATAGGTGCCTCCGCTCTATTTCCCGTGTAAAGTGGCATAATAAGGTGAGCAACATTGAAGTTAGGCGTCGAGTTCTAGGTTAACAGGGGAAATCAATCGACGAAGTCGTGAAGTTACAAAGACTGAGATGGTTAGGACATGTGTTACGTATGCCAAGCCATCGCCTCCCTCGACGAGCTATGTTAGCGGATATAGGGTCAGGCTGGAAAAAAGCTAGCGGCGGTCAAACAAAAACTTGGCTTCACCAGTCAATGAAATCCACAACAGTTGGTCTAAGCCACGTAGGAAGGTGTAGACTTCCAGGCTGGGGTCCTCGGGATGGTAAAAATCTATGGTTGGAAACAATTGGTGACATGGCTCAAAATTGTTCTCTGTGGCGCAGATGCATCCACTCCTTGTGACTTAAGATCTCCAATGAAACTATATTGTTCTTCGTTATTACTATTCCTTTGTCTCACACCTCTGCTTACTGCCTCTATTATGCTTTTCTTGTACTTTCTTCTCTTGCTTCGCGTGCTACACGGAATGTGGCGACTTGAACTGTTGCACATTTGTGCAAATTTCTATGTCGAAAACAGACAGACAGACAGACATCCATAGACTGTGGCTAAATTATTCTGTTGATATAAGAATAGAACTTGTCCAGTGTGGCAGAGTATAATTCAACTGTGGGTAAAATTCATTTTGGTAAAGTCTCCCATTGTTTGCTATACAGTAATATTTACTGATGACCACATTTCAATCAGAACGTACTGGCCAGTAAATATTACTGTATAACACCATGAGACTTTATCAAAACAAAAAACTGAGAGCTATATTTTTTATCACATGTGAGAGGAAGGTATCCTCTGTAACACTTTTCTATAGTTTTTATGCATCTTTCTTCTCATAAATATGTGTATTCCATACACAAAAATGCCTTCTTCACGTGATTGGTGCGTTCGAGGTCATTTGCTGATTGGTAGTTTTAGTGGTGCTTAAAGTTTAACTTTGCTGTGAGAGGATATCTGCCATTCTTACAATAATAATAATAATAATTTGCTTTATTCCAAAACAGTACTTGTGATACACAGAATGGAATTCTCAGCATTTTACTACACTATTGCATCCAGTTAGTACATTATCAATGAATAAAATTCTACATAGATTAAGGGTGATCTCACTTCATTATGACAACATATTAGCATGTCGGTAGCAAAGCCAAAATTGAACAGAATGTTTGAAAGTGCTAGAAATGTAGATGCTAGCATGTTTACTGGTGTAAGCGGTAACAAAAAGGTCGAGATATACAGAGTGTGAAAGAACGAAGAAGAATGTTTTATATAGAGTTTGTAAGGAAGAAAGAAACAAAGCAGTACGTAACAGAAAAAGAGAGAGAGAGAGTAAAGGAAAAGAAAGAAAGAAAACGTTGCACCTATAAAATGATATGAGTTGGAAAGATGAGATCCAGTTGTTCTCCTGGACTGGTGGACATACAGGTCTGTTTAGGAGAGCTTGGAAGACTTATTTCAAACTACGGTGTTCATGGGATCCAGAATCCGAACGGATCGAATAGTGGGCGTATGAACCTGTTTCAGTCACCGGCAACCATGGCAGTGTAACTCCTGACGTTGATCCACCGTATCGTGGATCAGACTTCAAGTGAAAGGCTAGGAGCGGGGAAAGATGGCCCCTGAGGACAACTACCTGCTTCTGTCTGAGCGTTCAGGCAGTAAAGTATCCCAGCCCTGGCATAAGCGATGTGATTTTGTGTGGCGCATCTCTTGGAATCTACATAATGTGCCAAGTTTGTGTTTTGTTGCTAATAGTAATAATAACCATGAATAAGATACTCGCGCTTTGACCTAGTTAGAGCCATCTCATCCCGACAGTCTACCTGCCTACTTCAGCGTCAACTTGAAATACCAAACGTCATCATTCTTTTTGATTACTAATTCATAATGCTTTTTCTTGAATATTTTGATTTCTTTGAAACAGGTATGTCGTGGCTTCTATCTTCTAGCCAATGATACTTCAATATGGCGTGATATATGCTTCAAATTATGGCCAATATGGATCACATATGATATCACTTGTAATAATAATAATAATAATGATAATAACAGTAATAATAATAATTTGGTGTCAAATCATCAAGTGACTACTTCACCATCACTACAACATTACACTTCTTGGCGTGAAATGGCAATCTACCGGCCGAGGGTTCTATTTCATGGTATGATGTAAATATTTATTTCCCAATGATAATAATTATTATTATTGTCCCCCTGAGCTGTGGGTGGAGCATACGGCTTCAACAGCACATCTCCACTTTGTTCTATTCTCTGTTGTCCTCTTTAGCTAGCCCTACGATTGCCGATAGGCTCATCTCTTGTATGTCACTCTCGGACTCACACCCAACTCGTCGTTTCCCATTCGAGTGCCATTCGAACGATCGTCTAGCGCATGATGCCATTCGATGGTCTCCACTTTCTCCTGCATATTAGTTGACCTATAGGTTCTCGCCTGTTGGTTTATTCCCAGCTAGAGTTTCTTGTTGCTAATTATTTCTGACCAACCGACCATCTGATCTTCGATATGGACCTGGCGAAGGCATCTGTTGATAAAAGTCTGCAGCTGTACCTGTTGGAAATGCTTTTCGTGACGCGGTCGCCAAGTTTCTGAACCATTAGGTGGAGGATTTCATTATGAGCTGAGAACGATTGAAAACCAGCTTGGAGTACTGGACAGCCAGCTGGTTTTGGTGTTTCTCACCAAAGTGAGAGGGCGAAAGCGGATGCCCGGCGCTCTCCACCGGGTTCACTGTCCATTGGATGACGGTCTAGGGGAGATGGCTAAACCCCGATTCCAAACCTCCAACGACTGGCGTATGAAGCTTACCGGCAGACGTATGGACAAAGGGCTTATTGGATGCCCTGGATGACTGGCCCCATTCAAAAAGGCGAATGAACCGGACTCCGGTCACCAGCTGCCAATGGATAATGGACTCCCTACTCCACTCCTACTGCCTTGTAGGTCACACTTGGCTGTGTAAAGGCTAGAGCTGCACTCTCAAACAAAAGGCCGAGCGATGCTGGGGACATCACTCGTACCAAATTCCCATGAAACTTCATGAACTCTCTTACAAATTGCCGCGCCTGGGCAGCGATGATTCGAGACGTTCATGAAGCCGGCTCATCCTCCCGTAGGAGATAGCCGAAGTAAAGTAAGTAAGTAGTATGATGAAATCCTCCATCCAATCAAACTAAATAATCCCTACAAAATCAATACTTGAAAATTTCTGACCCATGTTTATTGAATTAGTATTACGTAATCAAATGTAATATTCTAGTTCATTAATTCACTGGTTCGTCTTCCTAAGCCTGAGAAAAAGAGGGAAGGTTTGATGTAGGGAGAGCCATTCTATCCCCCCGGAAAATCAATCCAAGTACTACAGAAACCTGTAAGCACAGGAAATATATGAAAACTGAATTGAAACAGTTAGACCTTTTGATAAATTTAAATTTAGAACAACACATGTTTAGGTGAACAATATTGTGCTTTCAATTAGATCTCATCAGGCATAACTGTAATACACCCACATAACTTTACAAATAAAAATTCAAATACAAACCAATCACGATGTTTTGGCAATAGGATAATAAGATTGTGCATATAAATGGTGCGATTAGTAATAATAATAATAATAATAGTAATGGTTCTATCAATAATAAGGATGAAAAAGTGAGGCAATCTGTGATAATACAAATAATGAAAAACAGCATGATTAAACTTACAAATGTTCAGGTAGGCATAGTGGTCGATAAAGGCTAAGAAAAACCAATGAATCGATTAAGTAATGCTAGATTGTAAGGGAAGGAAATTAAACACGTTTATAATGAAGATGTTATAATCTTAAGGGATGATAGAAGGAGAGTTGAAAATATAAACAAGGGGTAATGTAGAAGTCATCAGCTGGTTAGGTGTCAATAGGTCAACAAGGGAGGGATAATGGCTGTACGAACTTCTTTTGAATGCATAGTTTAGGGGTTCAATAGGTCGAATGCCTACCGCCTCAGCTGTGTGCGTGCAGTAGACGAATACGAAGTCTATTGGAAAGATTCGGTGGGATACGATGAATTACCTTGAAAGCTTTCGTTTTCTTTAGTACATGACCACTATGAACTAAATGTGACAAAATGGAGTTATGGATTGTTTTTGTCTATCCTTTACCCCAAACCACGATGGGACAGTAGTGACACGTTGGCTAAGCTATCGAGTAGTACGCCCAATATAACTGTCGCCGTAGGTGCAGTTGAATTGATAAATGCACAGATGTGGCAAAACTATCCAACTTATCCTTCGTTTGCGTCCCAATCATTCGCTGGTTAGAGAATGACAAACATAGGTGTGCTGCGTGAAACCTTCTTCTTATACTCCTGGAAAGTCTCTGGAATAAAGTCCCACTTGACAAGTCACTATTAAATTGTAACCTAATAAACAGTAGTTTTTCTTTACATGCAATCATAGTCTCAGGTTTTCTCTCCAATGTTTTCATATGTTTCTTTATGAAACTACTCGGATAGCCCATCTCCGTCAAGGAATCATGAATATATTCAAATTCTTTTTGTAAGTGGTCATCCGTACATATCTTTCTTGCTCTGCTCGTTCTTACCATCTCGAGGACCCCAAGCAGTCAGGAAGTCTACACCTCCCTATATGGCTGACTGGCTTAAACTAACTTTTATGCATTTCACTAACTGATGTAGCCATGTTTTGGTATGACCACCACCAGCTAACTCTTTTCCAATCTCATCGATCTTATGTCAATCAGCTAACATTGCCCTTCGGGGAAGGCGATGGCTAGGCATACGTAACACATGTCCCAAGCATCTCAATCGATGTAACTTCACAACTTCCTCGCCCAAGTGGCTGCTTGTTGATCAACAAACTTGGTTTCGTAACCTGAAGGTTCAAGGGTTCGATCCTTGGCAAGTGTGTATGTGAGAGGGGGGGTTGTGGGTGGACACTGTTGAAGAGTCCTGAAATGAGGAGAAATAGTTTTCTAATGCCCTTTGGTTTTCAGTGATCTCTCTAACTGATGTGGGTTTATCACAGAAATCTAATAATCGTTGGAATTTATCATCAGGGCATAATTTGAAAAAGTTAGAATATGAGTTTCTTATAGAACTGATGCGTATTCTAACAATCACGGCTTCTTATATCTCCCTGTTTCGAATCTCTCTTCTCTTGATGTGTGTGCTATATGAAGGATGAGTGGCAACTGGAACCGCAGCACATCTGTGTCTGTCTGTCTGTCTGGATTCAACATAGAACTTGGCACCGAAGTGCACCAGTTCGAGTTGCCACCTTCCAAATAGCACACAGAGGTAGACAAGAAGATGAGTGGAGAGAATCAATAGAGTTTGACAAGTATGAGAGTGAAACAGAATGGGTAATGGTAGGAAGGAATATGAAAGATTACAGAGACTGAATACATCTGGGCCATTGACAACGATTTTGAGCCATGTCACCTATTGTCTCCAGCCATTGATTCCTAGAGTCCCGAGGACCCCAACCCGGGAGTCTGCATCTCCCTACCTGACTCAGTTTAACTGTCAAGGATTTCATGGATTGATGAGGCCATGTTTTTGTTTGGCCACCACTGGCTCTTTTCCAACCTGAACCTATGTCAGCTAGCAATGCCCGTCGGGGGAGGCGGTGGTTAGGCATGCGCAGCACGTGACCTAGCCATCTTAGTCTATGTAACTTTATAGCCTCGTCGATTGATTTTCCCTGTTTGCCCAACACTCTACGCCTAACGTCAACATTACTTATCTTGTGAAACCACCTAACGTGAGACAGGGATCGCAGACATCTGTGCAAAGTTCTACGTTGAAACCAGTCAGACAGTCACCTGGGCTGGAATTTAATGTCCCCTAGATGCTAACTTTGTCAAATTGTGACATAGATCTGGCCTAACCAGTGCCTTCGGTGGGCACCCACTTCACCTTGAGAGATGGTGTACCCCACTGATCCAGTGCTCCCTGGTTTTCAGTAATCTCTTTAATTGATTCTCGTTCATGAAGAATGTCTAACATGTGAAATTAATCCACAATTCCCGCCAATTTTTATACTCCCAAATTCCAACAAACTTGAAACCCATGTGTATATGACTTCTTTTTTAACTACACCCTTAACATAAAGTGTACTTGTGTCCATCTAATGTCTCATCACTTCTTCCTGTTCTTCACCGTTTTCCATTTCAACAGGATGTTATCTTTGTCGTGTAACATATGTCAGGATGGGAGAAGCAGAGATAGGCTCATCTTATCGGCCAGTATTTGAAGTTGTCTACTATCGTGGTATACGTTTCCATGCATCATCTAATCAGATCAGTATGTTCACTGCACCATCAGATCCATCGTCTATTGTAGCTGTATTGAGTAAATCGTCGAATCAAGCGACTGTCGCGACAGATACAAGCTTGGCTGAAAATAATAATAACAATAGTGGTAGTAATAATAATAATAATAGTATTGGAAATAATAACAGTACGTGTCAAAGTGTTATCAAAGCAGCTTCTTCTTGTGGTACCTTACTGGAAGGTACTTATGAATGGTGTGATCATGATTCAGTAAGTCTATTTCTTTGATAATTTCTCTGCATTATTTCACATTTTTTGAGTTCACTGCACGTTTCTCGACTTCACTTCTGCTTTCGACTATGTACCTAGATGTCTCTTGCTAAATAAGCTCTCGATGACACAAACTGAGTCCTGGGTCACAAAGTGGTTGCATTCCTACTTTTCAAACAGAATCCAGTACACTGTATACAAAGGCAAATCCTCCTCTGCTGTGATCACTGAAGCTGGTGTCCTCCAAGGTTCTGTACTTTCCCCACTTCTCTTTCTTTTCTTTCTACATGACTTATCATCTTCAAATGACATTAATTTTGTCAAATATGCTGACGACCTGACTGTATCTTTGCCTGTCAAATGTCAAAGTGACTGCTCTAAACTAAATGGCTTTTTATCAGAAATCAGCCAGTGATTCAAGGAAAACGGTCTTACCTTAAATCCCTCCAAATGCCAAACAGTCAATTTCACCTTCAGGTATAAATCTGACCTAAACAAACTGGTTAGCACTCACGAGGTGTGCAACATAGATAGATTGCACTGAAATAGAAACCAAGTCGGAAATTAAATACCTAGGCGTCATTCTATCTGCTGATCTTTCCTTATTGGTCGTCTCATATCTTGTTGATTTCTAAGAATATATTCCGTCTTACCACCTTCTACATCAAGAAGTTAAGACATTCTGGTATAACCCAACCCAACCCTTACTCTTACGATTCGTTAACTCTTGCATCCTGCCTATTATTCTCTACTGTTCTCCCTTAGTTTGTCCTGGGCTACTGAATAAGGACTATATCTTATTATGTAGGGTGTTAAAGGTTGTCATCAGGGTAAGCAACGTGCCACTTAACCAACAAGCTTGTTAATATTCTGGTTGACAGGCTCTAGAACTCATATGAAAAATGGGCTAAATCCATTTTATCCAACTTACACCACCACCCTCTTCATTCACAACTCTCCCCTTGTATCTCATCAGGCAAACACACCAGAAGCCTACATAGAAAATGTTAGCCGACATAGGGGGTTAGGTTGGAAAAGAATTAGTTGGTTGGTGGTCTAACTGAAACTTGGAATCATTTGGTTTGAGCTAGCCACGTGGATTGGCTTGCTGTCTGTCTGATTGGCGTTCTCGGAACTATAAGAATCAATGGCTGGAAGATTAGTGGTGATGTATGGCTTAAAATCGTTCTCAGTAGTGCAGATGTATTCACTTTTTGTGACCTTCAAAATCCATTAAACCATGATTTTTACCCATGTATTAGACTACTCTTTCTCCCTCACATGTATGCCTATTATATTTCTTCCTTCTCCACTTTTTTTGTGTTGCATAGAGTGTGGCAATTTCAATTGATGCGCTTCTGTGCAAAGTTTTATGTTGAAATTCAATCAGATAGTCAATGTGGAACTTTTCACATAAGTGCACAGCAGTCCTATGTGTGTAAAGTTATCGATGTGTACTCAATGAAACTCCAACACAAGGAAGCCCACAATCTGAGCGTTGCCAGTGTGCACCAATTAATCGCATTACTTCGTTTCACGATTTCATCGTGATCTGACATCAGTTAGAGAACCATTAGAAAATCACCTGGGAGTACTGAACACCTGTTTCGTTAGCCTAGTTTGTGACTCTTTATCAGCATACACCCACACACTGCAGGGTTTGAACCCAGGACCTTCTGATTACAAGGCTAGAAAGTTCGTAAACCGTTAAGCCACTGGGACGCGATCCAATAGTTACTGCATGAATTCTAACTTCGGCTAATTCACAATATAGCGCGATCTCTAGCCAATGTCTTCGGCGAGTATTTTTCCTCACACCTGACCTACTGCTGCTGTCCAATACTCTCAGATGGTTTTCCAATGGTTCTGTAACCGATGTTAGATCATGATGAAGTCCTCCAACGAAAATAGGAAACTGATGAAGAATCTCAGACTAGGAGACGAAACAGCTGTCCAGTACTCCTTCTAGGTTTTCCAATGATTCTCTATCTGATATCAGCTTATGATGAAATCCTCCAACCAATCAAACAAGATCCCTACAAAACCAATACTTGAAAATCGATGTGATGCTGACTAGCGACTAGCGTTCTATTGGGAAGCCGTGATCAGTAGGCTACAACAGCAGCTTGAAGATGAAGCAATAAATCATTGAAGACGAAGACCTTGCGAAGTGGTCGCGCTACGTCATGAATCGGCAAAAGTTAGAATTCATGGACTAGTTATTGGATCGGGTCCCCCAGTGGTTTAATAATATAACTCCAATATACCCACCATTAATTTCATTACTGACTGACTAAAATTGAGTTGCTAAGTAAAATTTCACTCTGAATTGTAACAGAACTTTAAGGTGCTACACTCCATGTATAACATAAAGGTAGGGAAAAGAAGAAGAAGGAGTAAGGATATTCTAAAAGGACTATAATATAATCAGGAAATGTACGGAAGAAAGTGTGCGTCGGTGGCACAGCAGTTAGGACGCTCGCCGACCATTCACATGATCCGGGGTTCGATCCCCGGCCACTGACGCACTCCTTTACCTCACTAAGCCAGAAATTATGCTAGTAAAGAGGAAAGGTTGGGCATGAGGTGGCTAGCAACCCCATCCTGTAAAAATAAACACCACTGCTACAGAAACTTCAAGCCACTAACTTGAGGCCCTATGTTCCACTGGGAACGTGAAGGAAAAAAAACGAAAGAAAGAAAGAATAGTAATATGGAAAAATTAGGCCGGGTTTAGTGGATATTGGTGGGGGTGGGTGGGTCGCAAAGACTGAATCCATGTACTCTGTTGTGTACAATTTTTTAAAATTGTATCATCATTAACCTGCAGTCAATGGTTGGTTCCCTAGTGTTTCAAGGATCCCAATCAAGCAGTTTAAAACTCCTTTACGTCTCTGGCTGAAACAAACTTATCATTCTCAGTCAGTTGTGTAAAGTGTGTTAGGTAAAGGTAGGTAGAAACCAGTGATGAATACACTGTGCAAGATAAAATGACATTATATAAACATTTCGTTGTCTATCCTTTCCAATTCCATACTCCATAAACAATTTTAATCAATATCAATGTACTATATATATATATGTATATATATATATATACTTTATTAGTTATTGATCATAAAGGTGAAGGTCATTCACACCACGTGATCAGGTAACATAATGGAAGCAGATAAGAGATGATGATGATGATAATAGTGTAGAGAAAATATTCATTCAGGCATCTATAAAACACAAAATAATTGAGCCAGCAAACAATATCCTTTTCGATAGATTCCTCCTCTTTTCTAGCTCTATAATTATACACATATATGTGTTTATATACATAGAATATTCTAGAATAGCCGTAAATAATAATATTGGTGTTTTTTAAATAACTTCACTGGAATTACAGTTCATTAAAGATGCTTAAATTATAATAGCACAGGAGTCAGTCAGACAAGGGTGCTTATTATCACCAATGGTATTCCTAATTGTGGTACACTGACCCGATTATGCATCAGACTGTGAGTGGGAAACGAGAAGACAGGGATATCCTGGACCGACATGAAGAACCTAGTAGACCTGGATTTCGCGCGTGGATGATTTATGTTTGATGTCACACACACAAAATCGAAGACTTATGAGCGAAAACCGACCGACAAACTGGTCGAAGAAGCAGCCGGCGAAGACAGGACAGACTCCAGGTGAACATAGACAAGACGGAGGTTATGAAAATAACCAACCAACCAACAACAACAACAGCAACATCCAGCGCCAATCACCATCAATGGGAGGGATTTGAAAGAGGTTACTTCATTCACTCACTTATCTAGGGAGCATTGTCTCAACTACAGGAGGAGCGGACGAGGATGTCAAATCGAGCGAGAATCGGGAAGGCGAGAAACACATCAACCTGAAACCAATCTGGAAATCTTCATCACTCACCCAGCATCAACAACAAATTTCGGTCGGATTTTCAATACAAACAACGTCAAGTCAGTCAGTTCTTCTATACGTATTAGAAAGTTGGTGGGTGGGTCACAAAGAATATTTCCAACAGCCTGTTGCAGACCTTTATCGACAACTGTCTTCTCTCTCTACTGAAGATCAATCAGATGGTTGGGCCGGAAAGAATCACCAACTATGGGAAACTATGGGAGCAAACAAACAAAACAAGAACCAATCGCCAACCAACAAATATGCAGGAGAAAGTGGATTGAGATGGATTGGATACTACTCGCTGAGGAGGTCGGGCCGCTGGGTGACATCGCGCGCGCGTCAGGCCATTCCTCGAGTGGAATCAGGCCAAAAGCGAAGTGGCGAGTGGGACGTCAGTGCAAGGGTGGGTGACATGGAGGAGGTCGTGTGAAGAGTTGAGGAGTTGAAACAGTATGGACTAACTAACATGGATGCAAGTGAAAAGTACATCCGAAGCAAGACAGAAGTGGCAAGTGGAGATGTGCAGTTGAAGCCCTATTTTCCACTAGGAACCCAAGAGAACAATAATAATATAAATATAATAGCAAATAGAATACCAACTAAAATTAGGAAATCTCCACAACAAACTGAGGATCATCAGAACTTAGATGACCAAGGTAATGATAATGTCTGAACCAACTAACTTCTTTTGGATGGACAAATTAGGCTTGTTAATATGGATCCCAACAGCCAGCCTCAGCAATATTTAATAGTCGAACTCTGAAGGCAAAATTGACATTCGTAGGTATGTGCGGTAAATGACTGTGAAAGCTGCCTCGTTGACATCAGTCTTGTGTTTTGTTGTATCCACAAGATGAGATAGATAGAATAGCGCTACGAATAGATTTTTGTTTGTCCCTTACTTAACCAACCACGATGCAGGGTAATGTTTGGAAATCCGATGAGAAACACGCCTAATTGTACGGCATCTACAGTAGTTTTACCATATAAGGAGGGGACATCTGAGACTCTACGTAAGATTCCCAATAAAGCAGGAATTAAGGTGGCAATCTAACCGGCAAACTCAATCAGAGACAAGCTCAGTAGGTAACCTAAAGGACCAGGTGAATCCACTTTAACAAAATAATATCATTTACAAAATACCTTGCAACGGCTGTGAGTTAAGTCAACCACATAGGTGAAACTAGTAAGTCAAGAGTTGTGAGATTGCCTGTGAGAACATAAGAATTTAGCTTAGGTTAGGAGGACTGATCCCACCTAATTTAGAGAAAGGAACTCAGGACTACATTGCATTAACACACAACCACACAATATTGAAGGGTGGGACAGAGTCATAATTCTAAGAAGTAATATAGGGAGGTGGATAGAGAGAGAGATTGATTACTGAATCCTGCCTGGTTTATCGAGTGGTCTACTATGGAAGATATTATTACCACCAGTCAGTCAGTCAGTCAAATCAGAGGAGGAGAATAAATAATGTCAAAATTCTATTTCAGTCCACATACATACTATAAAAACACTCGTCTTATTTCCAATCTGATTGTAATTGATCAATAACACTCGTATTATTATTTCCGAATGTACTTTATCTTTTATTACTGATTTTATTCAAATGTCTAATCATCCATTTTTACTCATGTATATAAATGAAGCAAGAAAGTGAGTTGTGTGAGTAGTGCCTTGATATGATTATAAGCGGCAATAAATTGTGCTTGAAACGTACGTGGTCATCAGCAAAATATTAATTACTGTATAACAACACACTGTGAAACTTTATCAAAATAAAATCTTATCCATAATGGAGTTAATACTCTACCACCACAGTGCACAAGTTTTCTACTTAATAAAAAATTGATACATTAAAGTCATCTGACATAGATGATTGTTTATATTGAAGTTCAAGACACAATTCCAGATCTCTACATAATCACTGAAGTATATCTTATTTAAAACAAATTAAATTGAATTTTATACATCCAGAAAGAAATTATTGTTTATCTTGCCTTACATATGGTAAATATACTTAACATATTATTGTAATTTTGTTATTTTAACTGAAAATGGACCCAGAGAGACTGTGACAGTTGTTTATTGCAGAAGGTTTGGAAAGAAGGAAGGAAACACACCTACCGATTGAAAGAAGGGCTGGCTACCTTGTCAAGCTAACAAAATAGGGTGACTTAGGCCTATGCAAGATCTGACTGGCGTGGTGTTGACTGGTGTTGTCCACGCCAAGTCGCATCATCCTGGAGAGAATAAAGGATTCACTGGTTACAGAACTTTGTCCACCCAAGGAACAAGTTGGATTCAGGAAAGGCAAATCATGTGCGAATCAAATTGCAACTCTACGCATCATCATCATCATCGAACAAAGCATAGAATGGCAGTCAAACCTCCCTCCACCTCAATTTACTTCGTCGACTTCATGAAGGCCTTCGACAGACGGCGTTGACCGAGAAGTAATTTGGAGACTACTTCAACACTACGGCGTGCAGTACCCATGTCTATCAACTTCATTCAACGGCTGGCTATATGACAGTGCCAAGTGTCAGGTGAGCGACAACGGAAAACTTAGGCATTATCACCTGTGATATTCCTAGTTATTGTGGACTGGATTCTGCGTAACACTATGCGTTGAGAGTGACAAGACAGGAATACGTTGGACCGATAATAACACTCTAGAAGATCCGGATTTCACACATGAACGATTTATGTTTAATGTCACACAAACTCAAAGATTTACAGGCGAAAACCAGCGAACTGGTTGAAGAGACCGGCAGGCAGCGAAGGCAGGACTACAGGTGAATATAGAGAAGACGAGGTGATGGGGATAACCAACCAACCAACAGAAACAATAAACATCACCAATCACCATCAAAGAGAGAGATTTAACAGAGACTACCTCCTTCACTTATCCAGGCACTAAGCATCAACCTGAGGAAAACCGCTGAGTGACATCACACGCCAGGCAAACACTCACAAGTGAAACCTGAATGGGAAAAAACGAGTTGACCATGGGGTCCAGTAGTGACACGGAGAAAATCGCGTTGGGGGGAGAAAATGAAGCTTAAGGCCAATGGTAAAGCCAGCTAAAAATAAGAATTCATGGCTAACATAGCGAAATGGCACTGTCTGTCTATCTGTTTTCAATTCGCCACACTCCCCCGTGTAGCACACAAATCAAGAGAAGAAAGTTGAAAAAAAATGCATATTAGAGACAGTAAACAGAGATGTGAGACAAAGGAACAGTAATAACGAAGAACAATATAGTTTAATTGGAAATCATAAGTCACATGGAGTGGATGCATCTGCGCCAGGCAATGACAACGATGAGTTTGAGTCATACACCAATGGTTTTTACCGTCTCGAGGACCCCAACCAGCCAGGAAGTCTACACCTTCCTACATGACTGGTTGGCTGAAACTAACTGTTGTGGATTTCATTGACTGACGAGGCCATGTTTCGGTTTGACCACCACTGCCTAACTCTTTTCCAACGTGATCCATCCTATGTCAGCTAACATTGCCCGTCGAGGAAGGCGATGACTAGGCATACGTAACACATATCCTAACCATCTCAGTCGATGTAATTTCACAGCCTCGTCGATTGATTTCCCCTACCACCTACCTAGCACTCAACCAATGCCTAACCTCAATATTGCTCACCTTATTACACCACCCAACACGGGAGATAGAACTCAGACACACTTATGATCAAAGACCACTAGCGAGCCTTCTCATGTCTTCCAATGTCAATGGTCTGGTCTCACAGCTAGCCATACAGTAGGACGGAGCGGACTGGTGAGCAGTACACCCGCCCTTTAGTCGAAAGTTTGTCGGATATCACGTCTACTAAGCCAGAGACAGCGTAAACTGGCATATGCGGAACTAGCCCTCTGTATCCATGCTGAGATTTCGTCACAGATCAACCCGTTGGCGTTGGTTGATGGTACTTCCCAAATAAGTGAAGTGGTCAACTCGCTCCACCAACCACCTCACTACTGCCTATTTCTAAACTAGGAGTCAGTGTAGTCCAATCCAGTCCTGTAACATCATCTTACATTTGACAGCAGCACGAGCGAATCGCATGCGAAACATTCGTAGATTGCTGCTCCTCAAGGTGTTCAGAAGACTCTGCTCTATTTTGTCAGCGTCCTCGCCTAGAAGAGAGGATTATATCGTCTGCATATTCTAAGTCAACGCGATTATCCCCTGATGGTAACAAGTTAATCCCTGAATCTCTGAAATGAGTTAGGGTTAAATTCATTAGTACATCTATGTGATGAAATTGAATAGAAATGGGGACACAAAATGTCACTGTGCTGTTGAAGCCCCATGTTTTCGCATGTCACTGGTAATATCGTTGCCGCGGTGGTAGTGGACATTGTGATTAGCAATTAGAGTAGTAGATTCATTAGTGCTTAGATATGTGTATTACTCACGGTCTCTTAGGCCTTATCTTACTCATAACATAATCATTGATATTACATGTATTTCAGATCTAAGAGGATAAAAAAGAATTATTACTATTATTGTATCCTTTAGTTCCTAGAGGAACATAGGGCTTCAGCTGCGCACCTCCATTGCCTTCTGTTATCTGCCAACTTTTTCACCCCGCTCCAGGTCTGTCCACATGCTTTCATCTCCTCTTCACATCACCTCCTCCAAGTCACCCTTGCATTGACGACCAACTCGTCGCTTCCCTTTCGGGTTCCACTGGAGCGATGGCTTGTCTAGTGATATCACTTGATGGTTTCCTCAGAGTATGGTCACTCCTTCTCCATTTCTTCCTGTCTATTTGTTTCGCAATCGGTTCCTGCCTTGTTGGTTTTCTCCCAAAGATCTTTGTTGCTGATCTTTTCCGGTCGGCCATCTGATCTTGAGTATTGAGCAAAGACAACTGTTAATGAAGGTCTGAAGTTTGTTTGAGATGCTCTTTATGACTCGCCAAGTCACTGATCCGTATAGTAGCACTGACCTTACATTGGAGTTGAGGATCCGGATCTTATTTTTGATGCTGAGTGCTGTTGACCTCCACACAGATTTGAGAGTAATGAAAGCTTGTCTTGCTTTTCCGATTCTGGCTTTGATATCCTCGTCAGTTCCGTCCGCCTGTAGTTGAAACGATACTTCCCAGATCCGTTGGTAAAGGAGGTTGTTTCTTTCAGGTACCTCTCATCTATACTGATTGTTGTCTCTTGTTGTTGTTGCTGTTGGTGTTGGCCAGGAATCTTCATCACCTCTGTTTTATATATGTTCACTTGAAGTCCTATCTTTGATGCTTCTTCTGTCAGCTTGTTGCTTTTCACTTGCATATCTTCCAGTTTGTGGGAAATCAGACATATCATCGGCGAAATCCAGATCCTCCAAGTCTTTTGTGTGAGTCCATTTTATACCTGTTTCGTCGTTGCCCGCTGTCTGTCGCATTATCCAATCTACTGCAATCAGGAAGATCATTGGTGATAGTAGACAGCTTTGTCGCACCATTCAGCCACTGGAATAAAAAAGAATAGCAAAACTTATACAAGAATTGATTTTCTTTCTTATGTTTTTTCCGTTGTAGATCATATGCACATTACATCAATTAACTGATAAGGAGAATCAGCCTCCAATGCGAAGACGACGATGTTTGGGTCCTGTTATACCACAATTGACAGTCACATTCACCATTGTAGGTGTTTTGCTTTTTCTTCTTTAATTCCTTTTTTTGTTATGTTATGAATGGAATATAGGAGGGCTGCCTGAGTTGAAGTTTCAGTCGCTCTGGTTTTGATTTTTACACCTGAAACTTCCCACTTTCCTGAACTTACTTATGGGTTAGCATACTACGAGTGCGTCATCCGGGAATTGGACCCGGATCTCTTGTGTGTCTAGTTAGCATTCTACCACTGAATAACTGACTGAGTGACGAAGATAAATGGGTGGGTGATGGTCAGCAAGGTTTCGTGTGCTTTTGTAGGTATGTGAGCGGCTGTCCACACCGTGGGAGCTGACAACTACTTGCAGCCAATCACTTACAGCCTGATTGAATAGGTCATTAGAGTTGTGTAACTTACCACCGGCTACGGGACCACATTAGGGTAAGTCGGGGTCGACCTTTAATCCCCCCTCTCTCTCTCCGGAGTGGAGAGTCAGCATAGCTATCATGCTGGTCATCTAAGGTTACATCCCTGTTCCTCAGCAGTACGTTTCTGTCCACAGACACTTAACGTAGTGCAAACGTCTTACATTATGATGGTAACTGCTGCTAGTTAGGGTCATTGAGATATGCAGGCCAAGTCACCACATTAAGGTAGAAGCTATCTGTCGGGTTCTACCACTGAACCACCGAGATACATAGTAAGGTATAGTCAGGCATAACTCTGCGTATATATATATATATATAAAGGGAATTATAAACACAATAAGGTGACTCTTGCGGTCTATTGAATAACTCCTTGGCATTTGAAACTATGTGTCCTAGATTCTAACCTCAATGGAAGCACTGTCACTCACTGGAGAGCAGGTACACGCGCATCCTGATGAAGAGTTTCAAACAAGACGAAACGCTCATTCCTGATTCCCCCACTCGTTCTCACCAAAACAATAAAAATTTATTCAACAAGACCAATACCATCTGATAAATCAAGCAGCTAAACTTGTCATGAGTTGTAATCAGTACTATTCCTAAATATTTAGTAGATAGTGGTAAGTGAGTATTAACTCAAATTATTATTATTATTTATGATTAAAACACAAACTTGGTACATTATGGACGCCACGAGATGCGCCATATAACATCACATAGATTGTGCGAAGACACCCAGATCAGAGTAGCAGATGTGGTTGTCTTAGGGGACCACCCAACTCCTCCCCTAGCTTTTAACTTCAAGTCTGATCCTGAAACAAGGCAACAAGGCAGTGTTCCCATGGATCCCGAAGACCAAAACAAGTTCATATGCCATTCGATCCTTTCGGATTCTATAGGTCATGTACGCCATAGGTTTGGGGAATTAGTCTTCCATTTCCCCTAAATAGGTCTGGATTTCCACCATTCAGCTTGTAAATGCCAAACGTTTGTATTCACCCTTTCACTCTTATCAGGAATATTTTATGGAGGCTATAAATGCGTGTCTACATGTGAGAGAATTTCGATCAAAATACCAAAGTCTATTCATCCTCGGCCATACCCAGTCGTTAATTAGGGGCGGGGGGGGGGTGTGAGCAACACGAAAGTAGAGATTGTGGCTGATTGACTTAGACTTTCTGCTTTCAACACTAATGCACTTCGGGTTCGAATTCCACTCTGCCTACTTCATCTTGAGCAACTCTAGTAGTAGTATCATCAACTCTCACAAGATAAGTGCGACTTTTTGAGATACTGAGCAAATTGTGAAAAATATTGTTCCCGAACACCCTTTCTTAGAGAACAGTTTTGGCATTCTTAAGATCACTAACTGTACTCCATTCACTGCCTTCACGTGGCAGCATAGGTGTTCCTCACAAAGCTTAAAGGATCATTACGGACGTCTGATGCGCTTACAACCCTACCGGACTGGTAGACATGCAGGTCTAAGGGGGCTGGAAAACCCTGAGTCGAAACTCATGGTGTTCGTGGACCGTAGATCCCTGATTCGGTCACTGGCAATCATAGGAACACTGCTCCACTGCCTTTTTTCAGGACCATACTTCAAGTCAAAGGCTCGAAGGAGGATGGGGGAGGTGTGACTCCTTAAGACAACCACCTTTGCTTCGATCTGGGCGTCCAGGCAAACTATAAGATTTTGTGTAGTGCCTCACTTGGTGGTGTCCATCTCGTACTAAGTTTGTGATTTAATACTGATATTAATTAATACATAACTTGCATTTCAATGACCAGTATATACATACATACCTTTAACTTACCATCTTGATATCACTACAACGTGTGTGTGTGTGTCTGCGCCTGTTACTTCAGTTCACCTTTACATTCTTCTAATTCCTCAAAAAGCAACTGAATTTTACCTTGCAATTAATTCTGTGGTCATTTCACAATCTTTTCTGTTGATTGATCTGCTGATAAGCATATGATACGATCATTGGTTAGTTCCCTATCGACACGTGTGGTACTACACTTTATGCAGAAAATACCATTCTCTATTAGTCAGATAATTGTGAATAATAATAATAATAAATTAAATTTTGGTTAATTGACTGCTATTTCATCTCATTGAAAAAACAATCAACGGCACCTATCATCCATTCATCCAATCACCCACCTAACCACCTCACCCTTCAATGTGATCTGTCAAATGAAATATGCCTTTAAATGTTTATGTTTAGCATCACTGTTACATTTCTAGAAGCCGTAAAACCATTATGCGTATATACAGCGTATTAGTGACTTAAATAATCGATTTTCTAGGGGGCTTAGATTAGTTTCATTGTAGATTTCCACAGGGATCAACTTCCTTGAAAAGCAGATAG